CAGTTTTAAATATGATTCGTAATAGGGCTTGTAAGATGTTTCGTTTAAGATTTACATAATCATAGGTTGTATTAGGTATTATAGTCCCTCAAGATTGTTCAGGAGCCGGATAGTGATTTGTTTCCTGTGGTCTTCATTAATATGGCCGCGGGAGATGAGGGTGTGTTAATGCTCTAGTGTAGGATCCACCTTGGGCGGAGCATATCGCATCACACCAAGTATTTAAAGGAAGTTCGTCACTATGAGTCCCAGCCCTGAGGAAGTCACATGTTATTGTGACGCAACGCGTCGGCCTGACGTGGTGACGCACTTCCGGCGTGGTGGCCATCTTGGTGCACCTTTTTTGATTCCTGTACACCCATGCAGATTACACCCAAAAGCATAGGGTTGTAAAGCTGTCATCTTTGAGGACGGATGTGAGTCGTCTCCATATGTTTATGGTTTGTTTTTTCCATTAAATTTACCTGCTACACTATGGGAGATTGTGTTTATTTTTTTATGGCACATACCCATATCCCATAAGAGGAGCCACTGTTTGATTATCGAACCCTAGAGAAGGATATCTATGGATGGGGGGGAAAATGGATCAGTGGATATCAGTAGATGCTGAGAGGATTTGAGGGTTTGATCCCACTATACGCTTTGACCTTCACAGGTCGAAGCCTGGAGGTGAGAGGCTAATCTAGCTGTGTGTTGGAGTTTCTGCACCTGGAGTCACTTTATGATCACGTGTGCTTGCAATTGCAGTAGTGGTGTCATCCACCCATTGGACATTTGTCTACACATTTTTTATTTTTCATTTGTGTTTGTAGTGTGATATTTTTTGCACCTTATTTGCATGATTGATCACAGTCTACTTATTATAATTGTTTATTGCTTTCATGTGTTAGAAATTGTCACAAATATTGTTACTACACAGTATTTATACATTATATTTTTTTATGATATTTGTTTATTAATATTGATCACTATGACCACTTGATTATTATTATATACATATTTACTTTACGATATATTTGTTATATATATTTTAAAATAATTTTTTGATTTTTATGAGTAGCGCCACATTTTTTGATTTTTATCTCTATTGATCATGGGTATTTGATGTAGTGTTGGCGGCTTCTCTCTTAAGTTGATTGAATATAATTTTTTGGGGGTTTAATAGTGTGGGAGGTTCACACCATCCCTGTTCATAATATATTTTTTTTAGCAGGGCAGGAGGTTCACACCATTATTCTTAATTTTTTTTTTATAGCTTATATCCGGGCAAATAAATATTATCTCTTGCAGTGGGGCATTCCTTCTATACAAAATATGAATGGGGTCTGAAGGCAAAACTTATTTTTGTTTTTTTTGTTGATCTCATAGTATGGTGATCTTGTTTTTTGTTTTTTTGCTTTTTGTTTTTTTTTTTCGTTCAACCTGCTGGGTTGAAATAGAAAAAAAAAAAGAATGTATGCACCAGGCAATATGCTTTAAGAAGTTTATAACTTATGCATATATGCATTAGGTTTGTGAAAAGTTTAAATGCAAGAGCTTGTTTTATTCTGTGCATGATAAGAGGAAAAAAAATTTCCAGTGCATGTAGCCTGCAGAGGCTTGTATTGAGGCAATGTATAAATAATGGTAAGTGGTGACATTAATATATTGCAAAGGTTGTGATGGTGGTACACCTTATGATCAAAGTCTGCTACACACTGGCCTGAGGAAAATCAAACTATTTTAGCATTCAAGGCAAGTTAACATATTTAGAAAATATGTCGTGATTTGATCAGTGTTCAGCCACAAATTTGCTTTGCATTTTGCTCTTATCCATTAAAAGGTTGCATACTGCATTTCAGCATTGTAGGAAATAACATTAAAAATAACTAAAACGGAAATTGGTACAAGCATTTGTAAAATACTCCCCAATGTTTGATGAACTCATCAATTCAAGACTAATTTAGCAGATGAAGGTTTACAACAGAAAAGCAGACTGGCATCGTAAATTATTATAATGCATTCAATAGTTTTATTTGGACCTTGTCACCCTTGCTGCAGTAACTATTATGAATGACGAGTGCTACTTTTGAGCTACTTTTTTGTTTTTTAAACTACAAAAACAATTGAGTACTATCCATGATACTTTTTTTATTTGCACTAACCTACAATTTTCAGGACAAGCATATGAGGTATGTCCCCTTCTTCAAGGTCCAAGCAGTGCTACTTGGACCTTGAAGAAGGGGACATACCTCGCAAGCTTGTCCTGAAAATTGTATGTTAGTGCAAATAAAAAACAGTATCGCGGACAGTACTCAATTGTTTCTGTCGCAAGTGCACTAATACGGCTACAATCACCTATAAACTACAAATTATTTCCTCTGCCGCTAAAGTGGTAATCCTAATAATATGCTTCTTAAACCTCACATCAGCTGTGGAATGGTTTACTAACTCATTGATTTTTAGATTTGCAGCAATTAAGCTTTAGTTACTTCTACATCACTGTTGGAATGCTGGTAGAATTATTTATGATATAGAGGGAACTCTTATATTTATGTATCGTTTCCTGAACTGGAAAATATATGCCAGCAAGCGTTATAAAAAAGGTCAACAATACTGGAGTGCAAAGTACCTTTTACTAAAACTGTTTAGTTTCCAGAGTTTATATTTCGACAATCCAGTTTACATCCAACTTATCTTGATAATTCATATATTGCATTATGACCCTCTTTTGGCTGTACGTCTCCTGTGAATCACAGGTTCAATTTGTTCTGCACTCCTTTTGACCCGTTTCCAGGCTGGAAAAGACCCTGACTTTAAAGTTGGGATCCACCCCAGAGTCTAGAGCTGGCTCAGTCTCTCACTTACAGTCACCGCTGTCTGCTCGCAGTGGCAGTAAGAACTCCGCTATCAGCGGTCATTTGATTGCTGAGAGTTCCCAGACTTTGAGCTGGCAAGGGACAGATCCAGCATCAGACCAATGCTGCATCCACCTAGGTAAGTATAATTTCGGGAGGAAAAAAAACCCATACTTCTCTTTTAAAGTTAATCTGTTCTTTGCTCACCTAGAGCCTTACCTTTGTTTGCTCATCAGTGGAAACTTGGTGGAATACTTGGTACTTCTGGGTATGGGAGAACATGAGACTCCCTCCCCTTTCCCCCACATGACATCGGCAGTATTTGGTCACTTAGGTACAAGAGTCTGTCACATGGTGCAGAGAGAGCTCTCTGCTCTGTGTATGCTCCAGGTCCCAGTATGGCCAGGTTTATATTAGAACACAATGGAAAACCGCATTTTAACCATTTGACCTCCAGAAGGTTTTACCCCCTTCATGACCAGGGCATTTTTTGTTATTCAGCACTGTGATACTTTAACTGGCATTTGCGTGGTCATGCAACACTGTAGACAAATTTTATCTTTTTTTTTCACATAAATAGAGCTTTCGTTTGGTGCCATTTGATCAACACTGTGTTTTTTTTTAATATAAATCAAAAAGACCAGACGTTTTGGAAAAAAAAAAAACAATATATTCTACTTTCTGTTCTTCATAAATTTAGGCCAAAATGTATTCTGCTACATGTGTTTTGATAAAAAAAAATCCAAATATATGTATATTTGGTTTGTGTGAAAGTTATAGCGTCTAAAAATATATTACTGCCAGTATACTGGAATTTACACAGCTATGACACTATACTGGTAATGGCGGTGATCAGTGATTTATAGTGGGACTGGGATAGTGTGGCGGGCAATCTGACACTATCTGACGCTGTCTGGGAGGTACATCTGACTGACACTGACATTCCTAGTGACATGAATACCATGATCAGTGCTATTACTGTACACTCATTGTACTAATGACACTGGCTGGAAAGGGGTTAACATCTAGGTGCAGTCAAATGGCTGTGTGCATAACAATGTGTAATATGTGCTGTTTTTACTTTATTATCTTGTTGTTTTGTACACAGAGTTCTTTGTTTTGTAAATGGAGAACTCTGCGTGTGATTGGACACAGCCAGAAGTGATGTCAACAGAAAACCCAGAGGGAGCAGAGGGGATCCACAGGGGCTGGAGATGGGAAAACAAGCAAAGCGGGTTGGCATCCACCTGCATGTGCTTTTTCAAGTCAAAAACAAGCAAAACTGGATGCATTTTGCACTGTGTCCAAACTTTGACTAATTGGACACAGAACTGATCGGTAAGGGGCACTCCCGCAGACCTGGAAGAAGGCAGTCATGTTAATATGTACTGTGGCAAGTGGTTAATGATGCTTGATTATGTGGGCAAAATATAACATTCTGCTGAGATCACCAGGTGTTAACACTGTGACCATTTGCCTCTTTAGTGTCCTGTAAAAAAAACATCTTTGCTGCTTGCCTTGGCCAGATAGGTTGAGTACTTGCTCCATGATGCATGATGTGGTTTCTCCCAATAATGAACTATTAACATACAAGCCAGTCGGAGAGTAAGTATAATACAAACAGGCTTTTCAACACACAGGCTTCTGGAAAGTTAAGTATATCTGCGCTTTTGTTTTCCAGATGGGCTATTAAATGAAAGTGACCCTGTGGTGACAGAATCCTTTTAAATGCCTCAGGTACACTGAGAATTTACCCAGCTCTTCAGAATGCCTTTCTCCTGGCAAGAGAAAAGCAGTGGTAAAGTGTTACTAAACCCAGAACCGTAAAGTCAATCTGTGTGTGTAGTAAAGCATGCTTGTTATACTCACTGTAGAATCTAAGTAGTTAATCCTCCCCAAACTGATTTTACGTCGTGGGAGTAGTAACACTTTAAGAATGACTCAGAGTTTGCACAAAAACAAGTCGGCAATGGCGGCTCTTAATATATATTCTTCCCTTGGCAGCTGCCTTGTGCATATCAGAAACAACAATGTGTATATAATATTTGTATTTCATTTTTGACCCTGGCAAGTTTCATTTTGATTATTTTTGTATTGCCTGTCTTTCAGCTGACAACACTTGGGAACCTTACACCTGCTAGTACTGTGTTTTTCTGCTGTGACATGCAAGAGAGATTCCGTCCTGCTATCAAGTATTTTGGAGATATAATAAGTGTGGGCCAGCGATTGGTAAGTTTCTTAAAAAAATGTTTCATATACAGTGCATTTCTAAAGTATTCAGACTCCATTCACTTTTTTTCAATTTTGTTATGTTGCAGCCTGATACTTCAGTTGTTTTAATTAATTTTATTTCTCATTAATCTAAACTCAGTACCTGATAATGACAAAGCGAAAACAGAATTTTAGAAAAGTTTGCAAATGTATAAAAAAGGAACAACTGAAATATCACATTGGCATAAGTATTCAGATCCTTTGCAGCAACAATTGAAATTTAGATCATGTGCTTCCCATTTTTCTTGATCAATGAGATGTTTCTACACCTTGATTGGAGTCCACCTGTGGTAACTTAAATTGACTGGACATGATTTTGGAGAGGCACACACCTCTTTCAAAAAGACCTCACAGCTGACAATGCATACTGTACTAGAGCAAAAGCCACGAGGTCAAAGGAACTGCCTGCAGAACTCAGAGATAGGATTATTGCAAGGGACAGATCTGGGGAAGGCTACAAAAATGTCTGCTGCACTGAGGATTCCTAAGAGCACAGTGACCTTCATAATTTTCAAATAGAACACGTTTGGACTCTTCCAAAATCTTGTCGACCGGCCAAACTGAGAAATTGGGGAAGAACAGCTTTAGTTAGTGATTGCCAAGAACCTGATGGTCACTTTGAGCCCCAGAGATCCTGTGTGGAGATGGGACAAAGTTCCAGAAAGGCAACCATCACTGCAGCCCTCCACCGATCTAGGCTTTATAGCAGAGTGGCTAGACTGTGACCCCTCCTTGGTGCAAAACACATGAAAGCCCTTTTGGAGTTTGCAAAAAAGCACCTGAAGGACTCTGTGAGGAACAGGATTCTCTGGTTTGATGAAACCAAGATTGAACTGTTTGGCTTCAATTCTAAACATTATGTGTGGAGGAAACCAGGCACCACTTGTCACCTGCCCAATGCTGTCCCAACATTGGTGGTGGCAGCCTCATGCTGTGGGGGTGTTTTTCAGCAGCAGAGACTGGAAAGACTGCTCCATTCTGCTTTCCCTCAACCCTGACCAAAGTACAGACATATCCTCAATGAAAACATGTTCAATAGTGCTCAGAACCTCAGACTGGGCCAAAGATTCACCTTCCGACATGACAGCAATTCTTACTTAGGGACACCTCTGTGAATGTCCTTGAGTGGCCCGGCCAGAGCCCTGATTTGAACCCTATTGAACATCTCTGGAGGGACCTGAAAAAAAAAGACGGCTGTACACCAGCAGTCCCCATGCAACATGACTGAGCTTGAGAGGATTTGCAAAAAAGAATGGCAAAAACTCCCCCAATCCTACAAAGTTTGTTGTGTCATACCCAAAAGGGCTTGAGGCTGCAATTGCTGCCAAAGGTGCTTTACCAAGTAAAGGATCTGAATACTTAAGTGCATGTGCTGTTTCAGGTTTGTTTTTTGTTTTTATATATATATATATATTATGCAAATATTTCTAAAATTCTGTTTTTACTTTGTCATTATGAGGTACTGAGTGTAGATTAACCAGTTACCAACCACATAACCTAGTTATACAGCAGCAGAGTGGCTCTCCTACACCAGATCACATACCTAGTACGTGATCCAGCACTTTTGGATAGGGGGCACACGCTCCTCCGGCAATCTGGCTGTGCTGTGAGTAGAAACAGCATTCTCTCACTGTTGAGGAGAAAGGCAGAGCTGTCCTGTCAGTGAGAATGTGCTGGATTTTATTTCCCTGCAAAGTAAGGAAAAAAAAACCCAGCACATCCCTCAGTGAAAACACCACATAGCACACACAAAAACGCTGGTTAGGTACACATTTGACCCTCTGATTACCCTAGATGTTTAACCCCTTTCCAGCCAGTGTCATTAGTACAGTGACAGTATACATTTTTACCACTGATCACTGTATTGGTGTCACTGGTTCCCACAAAGTGTCAAAAATGTCAGTTAGTGGCATATTGTCCGCCGCCCTATCGCAGTCCCTCTATAAGTCGCTGATTTGCAGCCATTACTAGTAAAAAAATAAAATATCCACTGAATATACCATAGTTTGTAGACGCTATAAAGTTTATGTAAACCAATCAATATACACTTATTTGGATTTTTTTACCAAAAATATGTAGCAGAATACATATTGGCCTAAATTTATAAATACATTTGTTTTTATTTTATTTTTATTTATTTTTATTGAATGTTTTATAGCAGAAAGTAAAAAATATTGTTTTTGTCTTTTCTAAATGTTTTCGTTTATAGCGCAAAAACCCAGTGGTGATTAAATACCACTAAAAGAAAGTTCTATTTGTGTGAAATAAAAATAGAAAAATATAAATTTTGTTTGTGTACAACGTTGCATGATCGGGCAATTGTCAACTGTAGTTTCAGGCTGCAACATAACATTGAAAAATGTAAGGAGGGTCTGAATACTTTAGGAATCTAATGTATATTTAATATACACACACAATTATTTGATCCCCTGCAGATTTTGTATGTTTACCCACTTACAAAGAAATGAAGGGTCTATAATTTTTATCATAGGTGTATTTTAAATGATCGAGACAGAATATCAACCAAAAATCAATAAAAAAAAATACAATTTTTTTTAATTTGAGCTGCAGTTCAGTGAGTAAAATGAGGCTACTTTCAAACAGTGAAGAGTTTTTGAAGCGTTTTTGCGTTTAAAAAAAACACCGGAAAAGCTCAAGAAAAATGCTTCCCTATGCATGTTTATCTATGTATGTTTTTACACCGAGGTGGTGTAATAAAAACTGGGGCATGTTGCAATGCTCCATAAATGCCTCTTCCCTTTTGAAATCAATGGAAAGTGCCTGAAAAAATCTCTGGGAAGCGTTTTTGGTGCAGTTGTTAAGTCCTTTAAAAACGCTCAGCGCAGCAAAAGCTCGGTAAAAACGACTATGCGTTTTTGCGACGGATCAGTGTGAAAGTAGCCTAAGTATTTGATCCCCAAGCAAAACACGACTTTGTACTTGGTGGAGAAACCCTTGCTGGCAAGCACAGGGGCAAGAAGTTTCTTGTAGTTGGTTGCAAGGTTTGCACACATCTCCGGAGAGATTTCGATCTGCACTTCTTTACAGATCTTCTCTAAAACCTTAATGGTTCTTGACTGTCGCTTGGCAACTCAAACTATCCGCTCCCTCCATAAATTTTCTATAGGATTAAGGTCTGGAGACTGGCTAGGCCACTCCGTGACCTTAATGTGCTTCTTGAGCCACTCCTTAGTTGCCTTGGCAGTATGTTTTGGGTCATTGTCATGCTGGAAGTCCCATCTACGACCCATCTTCAGTGTTCTGGCTTAGGGAAGAAGGTTCTCATCCAAGATTTTACAATACATAGCCCTGTCCATTAGCCCCTCAATGCAACAAAGTTAGCCTGTACCTTTAGCAGACAAACCACCCCAAAGCATAATGTTACCACCTCCGTGATTGACTGTAGGGATAGTGTTCTTAGGGTCATAGTCAGCATTTTTCTTCCTCCAAACACGGCGAGTCAAGTTAATGCCAAAGCGTTCAATTTTGGCCTCATCTGGCTACAGCACTTTCTCCCAATCCTTCTCTGAATCCTTTAGATGTTCATTGGAAAGCTTCAGACAGGTCTGTACATGTGCCTTTTTAAGGAAGGGGACCTTGCGGGCGCTGTAGGATTTCAATCCATAGCGGCGTATTGTGTTACCAATGGTTTGTTTGGTGACTGTGGTCCCGACTGCCTTGAGATCATTCACAAGTTCCTCCCGTATAGTTCTGGGCTAATCCCTCACTTTTCTCATGATCATCCTTACCCCATGAGGCAAAATCTTGCATGGAGCTCCAGACCGAGGGTGATTGATGATTATTTTGTATTTCTTCCATTTGCGAGTAATTGCTCCAACAATTGTCTCCGTCTCACAAAGCCTCTTACTGATGGTCTCGTAGCCCATTCCAGCCTTGTGCAGGTCTACAGTCTTTTCCCTGACGTCCTTTGACAGCTCTTTAGTATTGCCCATGATGGAATGGGCATTTTTTCTTCTCATAAAGGATGGAATGGGCATTTGAATGGAAGAAAGAGATTTTGTGGACAGGTATCTTTTATACACATAACGAGTTGTTACTAGGCGCACCTTCTTAAATTGACTGACTAATCTGTGTACCACATGAGCACATAGCCAGTCTGTGGGAGCCAGAATTGTTGGTAGGGGATAAAATACTTCTTTTACTCACTAAACTGCAACTGAATTTCTAACATTTTGTATCATGTGTTTTTTTTTTCTGGATTTTTGGTTGATATTATGTCTCTATCATTTAAAATACACCTATTTATAAAAATTATAGACCCTTAATTTCTTCGTAAATAGGCAAACTTACAAAATCTGCAGGGGATCAAATGGTTATTTTTGTGTGTGTTTGTGTGTACAGTTAGGTCCATATATATTTGGACATAGGCACAATTTTAGTTTTTTTCAGGTATTTACCAAGACATATTAAAGCTATAGTTATGTAATGGATATGGGCTGAAAGGGCACACTCTCAGGTTTAATTTGAGGGTATGTACATCAAAATTGGAGGAAAGGTTTAGAAATTACAAAGATAATTTTTATCTTACATTTTTGTGAGATTTTTAAGTCAACCTTGAAACATATACAGAAAAGTCACTTGTTAGAAAAAATCAACATTTTATTTTAGCAAAAAATTGTTTTTGTTTTGACACAAAAAATTTCAGACGGGCCTGTACATGTGCCTTCTTGAGGAAGGGGACCTTGCGGGTGCTGCAGGATTTCAATCCATAGCAGCGTATGAAGTATATCAAAGAAGTAGTGTATACTTGACCAATATCAGAAGCAATGGTTTATAACAGAGCATTCTCTACACAAATTTGCGGTTTATGCTGTATATATCCAGTGGTATCCCTCAAAAGCTGATTTCCATCTTGCAACCTCAATTTTGACTGCAGATATATATTCAGCCTGGGATCCAAGGTGTTTTGAATACATTAGTGCAGATTATTCTTCAGG